GGCAGGCACTACAGACAGCAGTAGCCTGGGGGTGGGGGGACTCACTGTGCCTGCAGCAGTGGTGACCAAGGCCTGTCCTCCTGTGACTGCTGGTCCACTGCTCAGGCTGGAGGTAGCCAGGACGCGGTGTCTCCTTGGAACACAGCTGTGATGGCAGATGCCAGCTCTGGCCCAACCCGGCCCTTCAGGCCCTGCCTAAAACCTCATCTCTTATGTGAATTCAAAGAATAGAAGACCTTCCTACCCCCATCTCATCCCCAGCCCAACGGGCTCTATTTAGAGAAAAAGCCCCAGCATGGGCCAGACAGGCCCATAGCAGCTTAGATCTTTGCCCAGTACTGATCTGTGCGTGGAATGCCAGCCACAATTTCTGATTCAATTCCGCAGTGATCTTGCCCTCTGAGGATTTTAAAGAAGCCTGCGAAAGAAAAGTCAAGACTTGAGTTTTCACTCTTGTTGGTATATTCAGATTCATCCCTAAACGGCTAAGAGCCCAGCCCCAAGCAGCACCCTGAGGCCCTATCTTCCACTGTTCACCCAGGTGCCCAGCCCTGTGCACCACGAGGCCTCCTGAGGCAGCCGCAGAGGTACCACATCACCCTCTACAACATGACACCTGGTGTGGTGGGTACCATGGTAGGCACAAGCTGTTTGTAGTAGTGTCCTGGTCCATGCCACCCTCTCCCAGGCTCAGAGACTGTCCTGAGGCCCACTAGCACATGGGCACTGGGTCACATAAGCCTTGGGAGCTGTGCAGCAGCAGGACAGAGAGGGCCAAGATGGCCACTGTTTTGGCTCACAGCCCCCCTTGGTAGGAAGGGGGCTGACGCTCACCATTGTCACCCCAGTCAGTGTTCCAGGAGTTGGCCACCAGCCAGTAGGGGGTGCCATTCTCTGTCCCCCAGCCCAGGATGCGGATAGCATGGCCTCCCATCATCTCTCCAGTAACATGTTGGTACACTCCTGAGGAAGGAAAAGTGGCTCAGTGTTAGTTGATAGGCCACTGCCCATCTCCGCCAGCACCCCCAGTGCAGCTGGCACCCTCCAGTCAGGGGAAACAGGTTCCAGAGGGATTTCTAAGCCAGCTCTTGGGGACAGGGACTGTCCTCTTCTCTGGTCTGAGCTTCCACAGCATCGCCCAGAGCAAGGAATTTACTGTTTACTTTCCACCAGGTGTTTGGCATGAGGCTAGGCTTTTGCAAAGGCAAAGTTCAACCAAATGGGCCAGCAGGTGGTGTGGTTAAGGTGGTTTGATCCCACATGGCAGACAGCAGAGTTCAAGTCCCTGAAAAATACACCAAGCACATATGCATGCGTGCTAAAAATCCCAAGAGAATAGAGAAGGGATTGAGGCACGGCCATTCCCCCTGGGGAATGCCTTCTCACTTTCCTTCTATTTCTCTCTGGTGAGCAAAGGTGAAAAAAAAAAATCAACAAAACATGTCACTCAGTCCAGACACAAAAAGATCTACCATTACAACATGAATATGCTGATACGGTGATGGAGGAAAGGCGGCAGGGGGAAGAGGGGCAGCTCCACTGGCTTTAAGGATGAGAAGGAATTTGCCAGATGGAGCTTCTGGAGAAGGCATCTGGGATACTATGTGCAGAGATGGGGGTAAGGCAGGTGGGACGCGGCTGGGCTGTGATCCCCTGGTGCCAGGAGCCAATGCTGACCAGTCTGTGAGGACCGAGAGGCGGCCAGGAGAGGTGCCATCATCCTTAAGGGCCTCCTGTCTTCCTCCATGATCAAGTCCTGCTGGTCCACCTGAACCCATCCCGACTCCTGAGCTCCGACCCCGACTCCCCAAGCCGCCCCACACCCACCTGACTTGTACAGCAGGAAGTCCGAATACACAGAGAAGGCTCCCTCCACGGGGCCGTTCTTGTAGATCTCCGCCATGATCTCCTTCTCGATGCCGGGCACACTGTAGGAACTGTATCCTGAAAACAAGCCAGGCCAGGCGTGGGTGAGAGTGCCTCTTGCAGCCCCACCCGTCAGTGACTCCCTGACCTACTGTGGGCCTCCAGGTGAAGCCTGTGTGGCTAAGGGGACTTGCCTAGCCGAGGGAAGTCAGGAGGGCTTCTCAGAGGAAGCCATGATGGAGCTGGGTCTAGAGGGTGAGCAGGGGTGGGTAACGGAGGGAGCAGTGAACATGAGGCCAGGGGCGTGTCCTAGGGCTCTAGGACAGATCACTCCTTGGAAAATGAGGGGTCCGGTCCCTCCCAGCTCAGGTCAGAGGCTGAATTCAGGCTGAACAGGCAGCAAATGGCAAGAGTGCTGCTTCCTCTGGCAACACAGGTGTGCATGACCCTTCCCTCTCTTCCCTGGTGTTCCTGGACTCCACGATTCAGTGGCCCTGGCCTCTTCCTCCGTTTGGCCTCTGGAACAGTCATAGATTCCTGGTCTCGGCATACCCCACAGACAAGCTTCGCCTTACCGTAGTGCTTATCCTCCTTGTAGGATGAGGAGTAGCCGGGCTCGCAGCTCTTGCTGCATTTAGGAGTGTCCCCCTCCCCCGTGCAGGGGGGTCGGGAGCCGTTGACGTGGTGCTCGCAGGGTGGAATGGAGTAGGGTCTGCATCCTGAGGGGAAGAGGGAGAGAGGAGGTGGGGTCAGAGGGCAGCGCCCAGGAGAGGCCCCTCCAGGCCAGGCAGAAGAACTGGGTTAGGGGCCGGTGAATGTCTGCAACCCAGAGAGGCTGGGCCCGCCCCCAGGGGGACGC